CCCTAGTGTGGGGCTGGGATATCACTGGCTGCTGGCCCCACCTCCAGGGACTATTGAATAGTCATATAACCACTAGGATTTCAGGCAATCACAAGGCTATTCAATTACCCAATACCTAACTTCTATAATGAGTGCTTCCACAGACATGCACAGGCTGACATTGTGAACAAGCAACATCACATGCTCCATAACCTCAGTCGTGCAGAACGCAATGCTAACCATAGCTTCAAAAACACTTCTGACATTATAATCAAAGAGGCTGACAAAGAAGGTCATCATGAATAGGTCATATTATGAACAGGAGGCTGCCAGGCAACTCTCCAATACCACATTCTATAGGACATTATCCTCTCATCCCACTGAGGATTAGCACAAGAAATTATACCATCTTCTCGGGAAACTCCTTGCAATAACAGAGGACCAAATCCACACAGACACACCCTGAGAGCCTCGACAAGGAATATTCTAAGGATGTAAACTCCCATTTAACTTATTAACCAGTTAAATGTTATTTTTTGTCCTCACCACAACCATGTCTGATTTGGATAAAACTTTTACTATCAGCAGCACTGCTATGGATAACCACATGGCCCCACATTATGCCAACATTTTTATGGCTAACCTAGAAACACGTTTCCTCAGCTCCCATCCTTTAGCATTCTTCCCTACTTGCCCTACATTGATGACATCATCACCACCCACAGGAAAGAGACCCTTGAAAAATTCCTCTGGGATTTCAACAATTTCAGTCCCACCATCATTCTCAGCCTGGAGCAGTCCACACAAGAGATCAACTTCCTGGACACTACAGTACAAATAAATGAGTGTCACATGGTCACCACACTATGCAGGAAATCTACTGACCACTATTCTTCCCTACATGCATCTAGCTTCCATCCAGGACCTCATTACATGATCCATTGTCTACAGTCAAATCCCAAGATATAACTGTATCTGCGCAATCCCTCAGAAAGAGGGAAACACCTACAAGAGCTTTATCAAGCATTCTTAAAACTTAAATACCCACATGGGGAAGCGAAGAAACAGACTGACAAAGCTAGATGAGTGCTCAGAAGTCATATACTTCAGGACAGGCCCAACATGGAAAATAACAGATCACCACTGGTTATTACCTACAGTCTGTAGCTAAAACCCCTCCTAGTGCATCATTGACAATCTACAACCTACCCTGGAAAACGATCCCTCACTTGGGAGTTCTTGCCTACAGACAGCCACCCAACCTGAAGCAAATACTCACCAGTAGCCACAAACCATACTATAGAAACACTTACTCAGGAACCTATACCTCCAACAAACCCCACTGCCAACTCTGTCCACATATCTATACAAGTGCCACCAACACAGGACTTAATCACATAAGCCACACCTTCATGGCTCATCCACCTATGCATCTAGTAACGTGATATATGTTATCAGGTGTCAGCAGTACCCCTCTGCCATGTACATTGGACAAACTGGATAGTACCTGAGCTCCATGTTGCGCTGCCGATTTGAAATGCCACGCAGAGCCTGGGATCAGCTGGGGAGTACTGCTGCTTTGAGTTACCCCCTCTCCCTTCCCGTTGATGCCTCTATCTGGCAGCACTGGGAGGGAGGGAGAATCAATTAGTTGACTAACTATCCGATAAGCATTTGCTTATTGTATAGTCAACTAGTCCTTTACATCCTTAGTAGGAAACACTTTAATTTCCCTGGGCATTCAGTAATGGGTTTTAAAGTAGCCATCTTTCTACAAAAAAACTGCAAAATCCAATTACAAAGAGAAACAGCTGATTCAATACAATCAAATTAGGCCCTAATAAAGATTTAAACTGGTTAATGCACTACAAAGGCAATTTCTCCTCTCTTGATATTCGCATCTCCCCCATCAGCTGCTGTGAAAGAGCCACTTCCACCCTGACTTGATTAGCCTTATTAACACTGGTCCTACACTTGATAAGTAGCTTCTTTCTTTTGTTGTGTATATATATATATATATATATATGCCTCTATAATGTCTATCCCAATTCATCTGATGAAGTGGGGTTTACCCGTGAAAGCTTATGCACTAATAAATCTGTTAGTCTCTAAGGTGCCACAGGACTCCTCATTGTTTCTTCATAGGAGTTAGTAATAATTTAAGAACCTTTATCATGTTACTCTTTCAAGCTATAAAAATAATTTGAGAAGCATTGCTTCCCATGGAAAATTATCTGTATGCAATTACTTCCATCAGCAAATGAACAAAACAGCATGCATTTTTTCAAATAACTGAAGAATTCCTCTTAAAACAATCTTAAAGAAAATAAAATGAATTGAGCTCAGTGGCTTTCCAGAATCAAGTAAATTAGGAACGCGATGTGAATCTGAGAACTTTAGGAACTTAAATGATTGCATTCTATCAGTCTAGACTGATTGAACCTCTTACAACCATCACTTTGCTGCAACAGTAGGCAGATTTAAAAAAAACCCCATAAAATACATAAAGAAAAAAATTCTTTTGCAAACACTATTGCTACATTATTATAAAACATTAATTTAAACAGAGGAAAATGGGGATATAGAATAGCTGCAGATTAATTTTTTGGTAATCCTGTGCAACCTTCAAGCACTTGAAAACAATTACTATTCTGCATTTGCAGATCAATGTCTGTTTCTTTCACTGCACTACCTAACAAGACTATATCTTTTGATAGTCTAATTTCAACGATACTTAAAATGCAGCAAAAGTCAGGAGGAGGAAAAAGTCCATTTAATTATTTCAGCGACCCAATAGACAATACAGAGAAAAAATAATACTTAAGTATATAAATTACATTAACTGTACCGCATTTCTCAAAACATATGCCAAACATTTTATGATACTTTTGCACACAAAAAATCCAACAATAGTAGTACAACAACATTATATCAACTGGTGCAAGCTGGGGATATTACACAATCAAACAACATTATAAAAATAGGAACAGTAACTTGAATACAATGACAACTGACTTCATTAGTGATTCTGTATGGTAATCCCTAGAATGCAGTAATGCTGTAATTTATATTCAGTTAAAAGGTAAACAGTACTAAAAAAAAAATCGTAACACAATTCATGTATATTAAACATGTATATTAAACCTTTGTTCTAATCAGCTAGGAGAATGAGATTATAGATGGCCACATGCAAGACTTCATTTTCTGAGATATGATGAACCTGGAACTAGTAAAGGCAAACATAGGGCAACAGCACCACTCTGTGGAGCTTTCAATTACAACAGAACAAAGCATTCATCACACAGAAGAAAAGCAACAAGTCTTGTGTAGCGCTGATAAATTTTTGGAACAAGCTTTTAGTACAACAGAGATAAATGCTAGATAAATAATTTGCCCATGTCAATCCCAGCATCTCTCTCCTTTAATTCAGTTATATTTAAAACTGAGTTCTTTATGAAGTGCTCTTTGCAAAATGGCATGGGGGTTTTTTGGAATGCATTGGACACCATTTCCTTTTCAGTGTTTTGTCTTGCATTTTATTAATCTACAACCTTTCATATTTCTGCCAAATGAATGGGCTAATTGGAAGCTTCTGAGATTATGTTAAAAATCTTCTAGGGGACAATCTTGCAATGAGGTTTCTGCAGAAGTGTGCCCATATTAATTTCATTGCAAGATCAAGGCCTTACTGATAAATGGTTGTACAGGCAGTCCCCGGGTTACGTACAAGATAGGGACTGTAGGTTTGTTCTTAAGTTGAATCTGTATGTAAGTCGGAACTGGCGTCAGCCGCTGCTGAAACTGATCAGTTTCAACCGCGGCTGAATCTGGATGCCAGTTATGACTTACATACAGATTCAACTTAAGAAACCCAGGCGTCCCCAAGTCAGCTGCTGCTGAAACTGATCAGCGGCTGATTCCAGGAAGCCTGGGGCGGCTTTGCTCGGGTGTCCCTGGTCTGCTGGGGGGGTCCAGCGGCTTTGCTGGACCCCCC